TCCATTTTATTTCAACGAAAAAACAAAGAAGAAAAAAAAACACCTAAAAATTTTAGAACATTGTGCATCATCATCACCAAATCACTCACTCAGAGCACAAGGCATCTGCATTCAATTGTCCAGACAATACCAGGACAAATCTTTCTCGTCAGTGAATGCAGAGAAATCAGTAGCATAACTATCTTAACTGATTTTTTGTATACATATACATATCTTTCACCTTCTCACTAATGAGACATGTGTGACTTATTTATTTCACTAAAGAGTATGGTCTCAAGTTGCTTCCATTTACCTGTAGAAGTCTCCAGTTTATCCTTCTTTGTGGCTGAGTAGTACTCCATTATATGAAAATACCATATCTTTTTTATCCATGCCCCAATCAGTGGGCATTTAAGTTGTTTCCAAGGCCTGGCTATTACAAATTATGCTGCTATAAACATGGGTTTTAATTCTTTTGGAAACATACCCAGAAGGGGAATAGCTGTGTTGAATGGGACCCCTAGTCCTAGTTTTTGAGAAATTTCCACGCTGATTTCCACAGCAGTTACACCAGAGAGGCCATGTCTTTCATCCATAGCTTTCATCCAGTAAGTGGTAGAAGGTGAATGTGAACTGCAGTCTTTCTTGTTCCATGCCACTGCCTGAGTGAGAGTTGTGTAAGAGCTGGTATTCAGCTCTGGACATCTGGTGTGGTCTTCTGTGCCTTCTACCCTGACTGACCCTCACTGTCATTTACCACTGCCCTGCCAAGCAGGAGAACTTGTTCATTAGTGAAGGGCTTTCCCCCAGTCTGAAGTAAGCCCAGAAAGGCCTGCCGTGCCCACCCCCACTTCCCAGCCTCAACACAAGCTTCTCTGCCCTGAGTGGCAGTCTGTATTAAGCATTCTACTCATCATCTCAGGGATGATGGAATCTTAACCTTTTCGGAGACACCGTGCTCTGTTACAAACATTGCTCTTTTTAAAAGAGATTGATTCACTTGCCGCATTTTGTCCATTGGTGAAAATCACAGGGGAGAGCAGGGGTGGCTTTTTGAGGCCTCAGAGGCCCTTTTAACCACTCTCAGCAGGCAGCTGCCCCTAGCTGGCCCAGGACTTTGAAATGACTGCCTGCTGGGTATTCACTTGCAAAGCAACAAAATCAAGTGGAGAGACAGGCTTGTGAAATTCTAACTTTTGGGGCTCTCTGCAATGAGGAGAAGCAGGAGAGGGTCCTGCCCAGTTCTTCAAAAGAAAAAGTTTGTATTTGCTGCAGTGGTGGTGAAATTAGCCATGGTCCTTCTCAGTTTACCAGGTACCTGTACCTTACAGAATTCTGCCTTGTGTTGTGTCTCTCAGTCCTGCGGCCACTTTGCACAAGAGACATTACTGTCCCCCATTTCCTAGCTAGCAAATGACGGAACCGGAATCCTAACTCCAGCCCTTATACCCCAGAGTCATTGCTTTTTCATCACATCTTAGCTCCAAAAGGTGGAAAAAAATGATGCCCAGTCACAACAAACTGAGCAGGATTTGGAAAGCTGGAGTCTCCCTGAATAACACCACGTTCTCCTGTGAATGACCTCACAGATGTACAAATCCGTTTCCACGTCCTTGTTCGGTGCTGCTTCCTAAAATTGTGTGGCACTGACAGGGCTTGTGCTCCCCTGTGGACCTCCGAAAGACCAAAGCTTAATGAGATGACCTTCTTAGGGTGTCAGAACAATAGATGGCAGAGCTGAAACTAGAACCCAGGGCTCCTGCCTCTGCTTTGTGTTCTTTCAATGAAATCTAGCAAATTGGAGCTGCCTCTGCCACCAGTCCCTTTTCTTAAAACACTGCAACAGTGTACAAAAAAGCAAGCCTGCATTTGCAAATGTGCAACAAGTAGCTCAAAATTATCGGTGATAATCACACATTAAAACAATAATGTGATACTCCTTGTGCCCGGTAGACTGATACTGATTAGGAAACTGGCCACCAACAAGTTATGGCAAGGAAGGGCTTGCACAGGAACACCCTTGTCCTGCTGTTGGGAGAGTAGTGGAGCAGCTGTCCTGAAGAGGACACTGGCACCATTTAGTCTTATCAAGGACACATGTACCTCACTACCCAGGCATCCTACTCCTACAACCTACCACAGAGAAAGGCTCACACAGGTCCGGAAGGGGCATGCAGTTGGTTTTGGTGGCTGGGAGATGGTGGCCTTTTGCTCTCTGCATACCAATCGCAAGAGAAAACGTGAAGAACTCTACTGGTCTCCTTGTCCACATTTTCTACTCATCCCCTTTCAAATTTAATCTGCATAAATTAATTTTTATTTATTTATTTGCCTTGAGACCTTGAATTATAGCCCCACTGTCTTTGATAAAAGATTAAAGAATGACAAATAGGCTTCTCCGCTGTTGCCAAATTCATTCTAGCAGTGGTGTCCCATTGGTACCTGTGTTGAGGCGATTCTGTGGCTCTTTCAGCAGCTCCACAAGAAAGCACTGCTGGGGTAGACTCGGCTGTATGTTTTAGACATAAGAGTGCTGTGTAGTTTCGTATTTGCCAGATGTTCATCAGCACTTTAGACTGCAGCTTTAGCATTATTGCCCCCATGGAGCTGTGAACCCCTGGATATTATATGCAAAATATAATGTTTGAGTGCATATCAATCGAGTTCTTGCTTCTTGACTGTGCACTGTCACCCACCTAGATCTGCCTGATGTCACTTAATATTCCTTCCCTGCTTTGCCATCATATCCTGTTCTTTTTGTTCTGAGTGCTGTGCCTTTCCTCCCATTTCCATAAACTCGTTTTATTCTTCTGGGCATAGTTCATGTCCTTACCCTCAGAAACCTCTTTGATTTTCTTCAGCCTTTCCTGATTTTCTAGCCTTTCTAGACTGGGGACCAGAGAAATGAAGTCTCACTTCAGAATTGCAGCTATCTGAATCCATCCAGACTATTAAACTTCAGAGCCACAGCTTTCCATGCTACCACACACTTCGCTGACTTGACAAGAAGGTTTTGTGCTGAGTTTTTTTATCTCTTATAAAATTCACTCCCAGTATTCGTAAACCAACATCCATGGCCATAGAAAATAGTTTCTTCATAGAAAAAAATTTAATAGAGTATGTGGTACAAAGCTGTGGGCTTTAACCAAAAGAAAGCCTCCAAACCAAAGGTAGGAAATGAGCATTTCCTGCCCTCCTCTCCCAACACTCTGTCCTCACAGTTTGGAACCCAGCCATACCACACCTGCTTCAGAGCTTCCCAGATGCCAGGCCTTTGTCTCTGGATGGAGAGAGTTCACCTTGCCTTGGAGCAGTGCTTCCCCTCCCTCACTCCTTTTGTGTGGCTTATTCCCTTTTATCATCACCTTGGAAAGGTGACCATCCTGGTCATCAAGAATGGATTGGCTTTCTGTGCTGCACAGCTGCAACCTTGTTCTCTCTCACAGGACTCATTGGGTGTGTGGTCCTGGGCTTGGTGTCTGTGTTTCCTCAGGCTGTGACAGTGTACAGGTCTCAGTCACTGCATCAACAGAATCCAAGGTACTTGGCCCTCAGGGCCAAATGTGTAGACAAGTACATGATGTCTCTTATTTACTTTCCTACTTCACCAGCACAGACATTTTATTTGGCTTTGTCCAGAGGAGCATTTTACTACAGATTATGACACAGGAATGGTACTAAGACTCAAACTTTTTTACCTTTGCACTCTGTACCCATTGCCTACTTGGCTAGAACTGCTGCATTGCAGACAGCCTCCTGGTTCCCCAATCTCTGCCTGCTTTTTCTTCATAAGGATGACTGCCTAATGGGCGCATCACTCAACTTTCAGTCCCCGCTTTCCTGTCACTGCATTCTTGATTTCTTCCTGTTTGGAGTCATCTTTATTGGATTATGTGCTCCCCTCGAGCAGACCCCATGTCTTCTCACTCATGTCCAGGATCCAGCACAGAACCAAGCACATGCTATGGTTTGCTGAGATAAGTTTACTTTACTTTTCATGAAGCCAGGGTCTGTCTAGAATGTGGCAAAGGGTGGACTCCAGCTACAGAATCATTACCAACTTGGGTACTTGTCACTAAATTGCCACTAAGCTAGCTGTACAACCTTAACCAAATCATTTCTCTTCACTGGGTCTCTTTGCTCACCCATCATAAAAAGAGCTTCCTACCTACTCCTTAAACTTGTGTGAAGAGCAAATGAACTCCTAAATGTAAACCCAGGACAGCTCCTTTCCTACAAAAGTTGGTTCTATTTCTTTCCCTTCTGTCTAGCCACCCTACATTATATGGCTTTCTGTTTGTAGGACTCAGAATTAAGATTATAGTGATATGCTTTTTAAATCCTGTGTTTGTTCATTTGTCCAACAATTATTTTACTCGTACTTTGTGCCAGGTACTGATCTATAGATTAAAATCCATGTGGAGTCCATGTGGAGTCTGCTAGGAATATAATATAGCATTTCTAACATTCTTTCCATCTTTCCTTGGGTTAAAAGATTTCCCTTGTCTAGTTAGCCACAATACAAATAAACTTGAGGAATGGATCCATTTGTAACCTGGGAACTGCCTAGGTAAGACATATCATTAGATGTTCTCTGCCAAGCAAGAAGGAGAGCTATGGACTAGATGAGTCAAGGCTTCTCAGGAGAGAATCCAAAAGCCACGGTTATATCATATGGCATAGGAACAGAATTTGAACAATAGAAGAGGTAGGGAAGGAGCATTCTGGACCAGGGACAGGAGTGTCAGGGTATTAAAGCTGGGAGGGCACATTCTTTTCTCAGAATGCTGAGAGAATAACAGTAGAGGGCAGACTCATGGAAGGAAAAGAGAGAGGTAGGAGAAGCTTTGGGTGGATGAGAGATGATCAGAGATGCTGGAATGGGGCATGTAGTTCCTAAAGGCCTCTAATTTAAAACTTATCTGGCCTACCTGCTTATTGGCCATTAACCTTTCCTTTGAGATTATTTCCACTTGTGTCCATGAAAGCTGTAAACTAAAAATATTTCTATCTCTTTTCAGGCTGTTATCACAAGGTGCAGACATCAATGCAAGACACAGACTTGGCTGGACCGCACTCATGGTGGCAGCCATTAACCGAAATGACAGGTGAGACTCTCCTTCCACACAAGCTCCCCTAGTCATATCTCTGCAGATCAGGTTCCTGACACTCTGCCACCCTTGCCTACTGCCTGATTGTTCTCCAGAGGCAGGGAATTGGATTCAGGTTAAGGTACTAGACTATGCCTGGGGCATTAGACTGTTTAGTAGATGTTAAGGGAAAGGTATGGCTTTGGCTTCCACCTCATCAATCACTGATTCTGTGACCTTGGGCCAAACATGAACACCAAATGTTTGAAAGTCTGTTGTAAATGGTTAGTATAGAAATGCAAACCGTCATCATATTTTTGTTACTTACTGTCTGTCCATGTTGAGAAGTCTGTTGTCACTGTCTTCACAATAAGGGGTCCACTAGGACCTTGGAAGTTCTTTTGGAAACTGAAAAAAGTTGGAGTTTTACTTTCCTTCTATTGGAGTTGTATTATTTTACATTTATTTCACCATTCCATCAAGGTTGTAGGTACTGTATAAAGATCAAAAATAGTATACTTTTGTGTTTAAAGTTATTTCTGATTTTTAGAGCCATCCTACTGAATGTATATTGTTATGTTCATTTTGCAGCTGAGAAAGCTGAAACCCAAAGAGATAAAGTAATTTCTATAAAGTCACATGGGCAGATCTTAGAACCTGGACAGGCTGCCTAGAAAATGGGTGTTTTATACTGTATTACATCAGTGCCTGCAGATCCCATGTCCTAGGCTAGTACTGAATGCTGCTTTTCCATCTCACCTCTTCAGATTTCTACCTCAAAGTCTGTATAATTCTGGTGGGGAAATACATTTACACTACTTGTGATTGTGCAAAAAAATTAGGTTGTGAAAAGGGATGTTTTTAAAGAAAACAATCTGAGCATTTCAGGAGCTGCCACTGAAATGATGATTGGAGGCCCAAATTTAATTGTACTTTCAAGCAAATCATTAAGGTTTTTTCTTCCAGAAATCTCTACCTTTGGAAGGGTCCCAAATAAGGAAGAAGGCCACAAAACTGGGATTTTGGGATACAAAGATGATCTGCCTCTGATTGGCTGAGAGACTTAGCTTTTCTTGAGTTGAAAAATTTTCTTTTGTTCCTTGATTGTGAATTTGTTGTCAGTTTTATTTGTTATCTTGCACTCTAAGCACTTATTCTTTAAAAGATAATTGATACTATACTAAGGATATACTTCAGAAAAAGGATTTGCTTTCCTAGCATGCTCAAGGCCCTAGATTCAATTCCTGGCACTGCTAGGGCATTGTGGGGAGGAGGGTATGATATAAAGATAAAAATCAGCTTTACAATTGAGAGACCTGGAATCCAATCATAATTCTGACCTTTAGTTGAGTTTCAGAACCCCATGGACATCTGTTTTTTCCGTAATAAATTACTTATTTCTACATTTAGTAAGTACCTGTTCTGAGCTAGACTTTTTACTAGTCTTTGGAGGATCAGAGACCCTGGTGGAGCTCACATCCTGACATGGAAAAGAAATGCGAGTAAAGAAACATCATATATAATGTCAACAGTGATGTCAGTGCAGAGTGTACAGGGTGTTACTGAAGCAGAGGAGGTGAGGGAACTCCATCTGGTAGCTAAGTAAATGCTATTCCTTAAGACTCAGATAAGATAATGTGTGTATTCCTTGTTATAAATGGTGAGTTGTTATTCCCCTGTGCTCTTGTTAAAACTCTACGTATATGTGTATGTTCTCTATCACTGATACCATACCCTACCCAGCATTCCTCTTTCCCAGCTTGCAAACAAGAACAGCCAAAGCTGTAGAAGGAAGGAGGAGGGTGATCCTGGCCATGTGTATTTTCAGAGTTGAGACTGAATAGGATATAACGTGATGCTTAGAGTACTATAAATTAGTAACCAGGTAGCTAGTAGATGAGCTTATTGGTCCATCTCTCTCTGAATCTAATGAGTTGTTGGTTTAACTGATTTGCTGTGTCATTATCTAGGATGATTAGCAAATCAGTGATGCTTGTTGAATAAAGTGAGAATGTTGACTTGTATTTAGTTGTTTTGATTTCTAGGACTAATTAGTGGTATTTTTTTAAGATTTTGTACCCTCCTCTCCCAGTATCCACAGAAGACAAATTTTTATAGAAAATGACATTCTTAGATTTCTTTATTCACATCACAAAAATTTTTTGGCCCCCTACTGTTTGCCAAATACTGTTCTTGAAATAACATCATAATACAATGGAATATTACTCAGATGATAAAAAAAAAGAAATAACATTATTGATAAACAGGCCAAGATCCTTGCCCAGATAGAGCTTATTTCTTTAATCATGGTAGAACCCAGGCAGAGAGCAGCACGAGCAGACAATAAATAGTAAGAATAATTCATATGTAAACCATACAATATATGAGAGGATAAGAATTGCCATGGAAGAAAGGAGAAATAGAACCTGTAAGAAAGAAACTATCAGTATGTTGATCACGATCAGTAGGCCTTGATAAATAAACTTCCTTGTGAGTAGTCTTGAGAGATCACCATGTCTGTACCAACACAACCTACCAGTAAATCTTTCCTTATTAGAAGTGTGCTGATTCTCCTAAGATCAATCACCAGACCTCTCAGGAACCATATTGGTCAGAATTCAAATGCCACCACCCTTGAATTGGATTTGGGAAAGAGCAGCATGCCTTGATTGAGGCTGAAAGTAGAGAACTTCTGCCTTCTGTGGAATGTTGACAGCCCAGACACTCAAAGAGAAATGCTGGGCGTAGCCCAGTCCTTTACCCCTTAGGTACCTGCTTAACATGTTAAATCCTTAGGAACATAGGATACACTGATCTCCATCTTTAAGGAGTTTATGCCATACAAATTATGTATTTATTATTTAATTTGTTTTGAGTAGGAAATATTTGTGTAGTATCATCATAGTAAAATTTTTAAAATAAGTATAGAAAATTCTTTAGTAATTATTCCTTTTTATTTCTGAAGAGGGTTTGAAATATCTTAAATACAAATATAAATACACATAGGAGAGTTAAAACTGGATCAAGATCAGAAATCTTATTGGTAAAAGGAAAGATAATTGTATCAAGATTGAACCAAAGGTTTTCTTTTCTGAAAATAGATTTATTGTTTTTCTAAAAATAATATAGAGAGGAAAGTGGCAGTCACTTGAATTCCCTCTATCTAGACATTTATCATGGCATATATACTTATTTGTGTTGTAATTTGACATAAATGGTACTATGCTGTCTGTACTCACTGTAAATGAAGTAATTAGTGAAATTAAATATTAAGTTAGGTAGTTTTCCGGACACGCAAAGCAAAAGGGGAGATCAGAGGGGGTTTTCTTGTTGTTTTCTTTTTCTTCCTTTAGGAGAAAAGAACTTTATTCTGATATCCTTTATATTATCATTTTATGCATCCCACATTTTAAAAAAACTATCCTATGCTAGCCACTGATACGTGGGCCATAGAGGGATTCAGAGAACAAGTAGTAATAGCCTTTGCCTTAAAAGAAGCTTACTTTGACTACTGACATCAAGGACTTGAGTAATGTGATGGCCATTGTCCTCAGCATCAGTTCTGCCAGAGATTTACCAGCATTCTGTTAGGGCAGTTCTTTTGCCACCCTCAGTAACAGCTTGGGTGTAGCGTTGACTCAAGGGTCAGTAGTCTAGCCCCTTCTCCACGGTGAGCCCTTGATAAGCCTTATGCCACAAGGCACTTGTTTAGCCTGATTCTGGGTGCCTTGTTCTGTGTTGCACTCTGACCCAGGCTAGCTAAAGGCTAAGCCACAGGGTCTCAGGATGATACTGTTACTTAGCATAACCTTCACTGGCTAGTGCAAATACACCCAGCCTTCAGCTAAATTCAATTAGTCTTTCTTTAAGAAAGGAAAGAAATCCAATTTTGCCAAACACGGACAGACGGTGGAAGGCACTTTGATGTTACAACTTCTCAGTGATGCTTTACTTAGTCACAAGTTCATAAGCAAGAAGGCTTAATTACTTGGGAAAACACAAGATTAAAACTGGACACAATGACTGAGTATCCGCTCTCGGGTGACTTGATTCGAACCCATGCAACCCAGTTCGTGTGTGGTGCAAACTTTGATGTGTGCTATGACAAGCTGAAAGTCATGACCCCTTTAGAGAAGCTCCTTCAGATGGCATTTGTGGGATATGTAGGCGGAGAGGCAGAGTCTGCCAGGACTGTTTGCTCAACTTTGATGTCCAAGCAGCCACAGGCTCCGCTGTTTGCTCTTTCACTGAGGGTTGGATTGGGAGCCTCCTACTTTTTGCAGTGGACAATAGTCAGCAATGGAGTGTGACGACTATTGACCATTCCAGAAGCCTGATGGACCAGAACAGGGCTTTGAGAGATGCAGAGCCTGGGGGGCCAAAAGCTGTTTATAGGACAATCATTTTTCCATCTGTAGCTTTACTTAAAGCCCTTGTGATAGTTGGATATATGTGATGGAAATGAAAATTATCTTGGGAGTCTCAGCAGGTGCCAAGTACTGCTTTACTCTCTACCCAATAACCCCAGCATATCTGTAAATTGGAAGTTTAAGTCTTTCCTTTTCCCTTCTTCAAAGAATATGTATAGGGAATAATGGTATGATAGAAAAGTGGTCTGACTTAGATCCTTTTAATTTCTAACTCTTCGAAAAGAAGCTGTCAAAACACATGTCTGGTGAAGAGAGTATCTAGAATATATAAAGAACTCTTACAAATCAATAATAAAATGGTAACCCAATTTTTAAATACAGGCAAAAGGTCTTTGCTGGTATTTCACCAAAGAAGAGATAGATGACACATATGTACAAAGATACTCAGCATTGTTAGTCACTAGGGAAATGCAAGTTAAAGTTAGAATAAGCTATCATCACATACTAGCTAAAATTAGAAAAACCAACAATACCAAGATTTGGCAAGGATGCAAAACAGCTGTCATACATTGCTGATAGGAATGCATGATAGGATGGCCACATTGGAAAACTTCAGCAATTTCTTATAAAGGTAAAACATACATTTAC